TAGCAGGAACACAGAAAGCACCAGGATAATAAACCTTTTATTGTCCAAAACGTAGGAACTGACAGTTGAGGTTTACATAGCCTGGTAATTTTGCCTCTGCAAGTTCAGAAGTAGCATCAAGATTACAACTTGTGAGAGATACTGAATACACTCCAATCACCAAGTTTGTGCTATGATCTTTAAATAGATGTGTTTTATTATGCATTTGTCATAACTATGAATTGATTCACTAAAAAATACCAGTGCGTTTAGGAGTTAGTCCTAATCATTAAGTCATGTCATATGATTTTGTATTTAATTTAGTTTATTGCCTTACTTTAATATTGCTTTATTTTATGTTCTTTTCCTAACCTTTTTCAATGGCTTTTTTTCTCATGACTTAGAGGTTAGCATTGCTCTCCCATTTTGATATACTTATAATTAGATTTATTTAGAATGGAAGATATCAGACACTAGATGCCATCTTGCTAGCAAGAGCTTCAAAACTTATTGAAAGTTCAAACTTTACCAAGTCCACTTGTACTAGAAGACCTTATGAACAGAATGTATTACAGCATCAGCAATATCTGCGTGTACCAAAAATCTCACTATATTTTTACTTATCTTAACTTTTTTTTTTTCATTTGCCTAATTCTCACTTCAACTTACCACTCAACCAGCTGCAGGAACTTGACTTTCTGAGAGTGTGCAGCCATTAACCTAAAACTAGGCAGCCAAGACCTACAAGTCATCAAGCTGTTTTCCAGCTAAGTGGAGTCAGCTGAAATTAAGTGCTTTCTTTCTTTTCTTTTTTTTATTATTATTATACTTTAAGTTCTAGGGTACATGTGCACAACTTGCAGGTTTGTTACATATGTATACATGTGCCATGTTGGTGTGCTGCACCCATTAACTCATCATTTACATTGGATATATCTCCTACTGCTATCCCTCCCCTCTCCCGCCTCCCCACAATAGGACCCAGTGTGTGATGTTCCCCTTCCTGTGTCCCAGTGATCTCATTGTTTAATTCCCACCTATGAGGGAGAACATGCGGTATTTGGTTTTCTGTTCCTGTGATAGTTTGCTGAGAATGATGGTTTCCAGCTACGTCCATGTCCCAACAAAGGACACGAACTCATCCTTCTTTATGGCTGCAATGTATTCCATGGTGTATATGTGCCACATTTTCTTAATCCAGTCTGTCACTGATGGACATTTGGGCATTTGGGTTGATTTCGAGTCTTTGCTATTGTGAATAGTGCCACAATAAACATAGGTGTGCATGTGTCTTTAGAGCAGCATGACTTATAATCCCTTGGGTATATCCCCAGTAATGGGATGGCTGGGTCAAATGGTATTTCTAATTCTAGATCCTTGAGGAATCGCCACACTGTTTTGCACAATGGTTGAACTAGTTTACAGTCCCACCAACAGTGTAAAAGTGTTCCTATTTCTCCACATCCTCTCCAGCACCTGTTGTTTCCTGATTTTTTTATGATTGCCATTTAACTGTGTGAGATTGAGTATTCATTGGATTTTTGATTTGCATTTCTCTGATGTGTGGACAGTGATGATGAGCATTTTTTAATGTGTCTGTTGGCTGTTGAAGTGTTTCTTTTTGTAGACGTGTCAGCACTCGCTTAGGTATTTTCTATTCCCAATATTTATTAGATGGGTACGATTCGTTTGTTTTTTGTTTAATTTGATTGAGTTCCATTTATAGGGTTGGCTGGTATGAGACCCTTGTCAGATGAGTAGATTGCAAAATTTTCTTCCAATTATGGTACGGGTGACCCTGGTAATAAAATATGGA